GGATCACAATTGCAAATAATAATAAAAAATAAAATGCTCAGCTTACCGCGAGCCATATTAACTGAAAATTAGGTTGAATGATGTGGGCCATATGTTTTACACCTACCTAAAGTAAAAACATACACCTATAACCTACTATGATTATACAGAATTTCTGAAATAGCTATATTTTTCAAAAATTATTTTATTCTATATTATTTTCCACATTTTATTTTAATAATTTTTAAGTTTTAGTAATTAAATTACCTGCTGCTGAACCATGTCTTTCTCCTTTTGAATCTTTTTTGAATGCGTAAGATATTGTAATAGGTCTATTACATAGATACTGCCCGTTCATTGCTTCTATAGCAGCATCTGAGGCTTCAAAACTAGCAAAATTGATGAAGGCATACCCCTTTGAATTTCCTGTTTCAGGATCTCTCATTATCTGAAAATAAAATATTAATACATAAACAACCATTAAGCTCAATTTATTCATTTTAATCCAAACAACTAAATGTCAGATTTATTGCAACTCAACAAATGCACTTATTAATGTTTGGATTAAAATTATTTAAAAAACATCTTGCAAGATATAAAATATGCAAATATAAAAGTAAATTTAATTAGAAATAAACTATTAAAAATATATTTGAGATTAAATTTAACTGACCATATGTATTTTTCAGTTATTACATGCTTAAAGTATATAATATACTAAGTGAAGACAAAGTATTATAAAAAATATTGTTGTATTTTCACTAGTTATGCTATCAATATAAAGCAATTATATTTTCTATTATTGTTCTTTGATATTATTTTTCTTGTTGTATTAAAAAATTACACAATAATTTTAATTGTAAATGTTTTAATATAATTTGCTTAAAGTAGATAATTCTGTCATACAGTATTTATTACCTTAGGAGTCTGTAAAATGACACCAAATGCACTAAATGTGTCATACAGTAACTTCTCATCAACTTCAGGATCAAGATTTCCGATGAATATATTAGCGCCGACATCCAAATTTTTTTGATGAGCTGATGCCTGAAATAATTTAATATTAATAGTTTATTTTAATATGAAACACTTAAAATGATTAAATCTATAAAAGAACTTTACTTTAACATTATATTTTTTTCAACGTAAATAATAATAAATATATAACTGTTGAATCACAGCTGTTTCATATATAATTCCTACAGTTAAATTCAGATATTTCAAACATAGTTTATTCTAACTTTAATTTATTTAAGAATATGGGTGTGGCAAGTGAAAGTATATAAAGCAATATAATAAAAACTTTCCCTAGTCAAAATTTAAAGTTTAAAATATTCAAAATTAAATAAAAGGCAATATTTGATAAAGACTGACTTTTTTATCATTAAAAAGAATTTTACAGAATGTGATGAGGTAAGTTTACAATAGACTTATTTACAGAATATATTAAAAAAAATGTTTAAGATTTTCTTTTAAATTGAGAATTTTCTTAAATATTTTGTTTCAAGTATTATGTTTTTCTTCTTTTCCTCCTCAAATTCTTACGGCACACAGGTGATCTGTTGAGGGGGATGCCTCCTGGGGACAACTTTCTATGGAAAAACAGCTCCTATTTAGATTGTTACAAGATAATCTGGAAAATGTGTGGTCAGTCTGTTAACAAGGCACAAACCCACATGTTCAGTAGTTTTGTCCACTCAGTCACTGGTGGGCAGCAACATATGATTCATGATAATATTCTAAGTTGTTTAACATGGAAACTAGTCTTTATTATATTGCTATAGATTTTTATATATAACTGCTAATATTTTTTATTAATTAAATATAACTACAGTCGACCCCACCTATAACACTGTTGATAATTTCGTTTTATATGAATTCCATGTTGTACGAGTCACTTAGATTTTACAAATACGTGTGCCAGGCTATGAACAGCTCATGGATTTGTAAAATCTAAGTGACTCGTACAACATGAAATTCATATAAAATGGAATCGTCAACAGTGTTATGGGAGGGTCGACTGTATTCCTATTTTAAAAGAGAAGTTATGGAATCATTTATGGTTATTTTGATATCTAGAAAACACTTTTAAAGATATTGAGTTTACTACATGTGAATTTTTTTGAATTAATGATTATGTACTTAATTTACCAGATGTAACCACTGTCATTGGCGGAGGAGGAAGTCCAACCATTGGTGGTGGCGGCGGTGGTGGTGCAGCCATTGGTGCTACCACTGGTGCACACGGTGGTGGAGGTGCATCGGCAAACAATTGATGAGGTCTATCTGCATGAGAAAGTGGATTCTGAGCAGCTAGAAGACGTTCTGAAACAAAAAAATAGCTTTTCAATTTTTAATAGCAAAAATGTATAATGCTTTGTAAACTTTTAATTGACAACAGATATCATTTCACAATTTCATTTTCTGTCAGCTTTTGAGCACTATCTTCTTATATGACATTAGTGAGCATTTAGATAAGTTGAAAGACTAGATTTTTTAGAATAATTTTAAAATAAATTCAAGGAAAAAATATAATACAGTATTTAATAGTTCCCACTTTCCTACTCTCTTCTCTCTTCAAAATTAAGTACTTTCTTCACTAAAATCTTTTATATCTAATTATTACACGTTGATAAAATATGAAACAAACAGCAAGACAATATAAAATAATATTTTATATATTTTTTACTAATAGCAAATTTTTCAGTAGAAACCTTTTCTATTTAAAGGGAGAAATAGATTATTATAACAATGTTTTGTGCAGAAAAGTCTAAAGAAAGCTATGTATTTTAAATAAAACAGTATAAGATTATCCTGTTTGAAAGGAAAAATATATAAAAAAAATTCCATTCTTCACAACAGTGGTGTCAAACTGATGTAAGGTAGACGACTACTTTTGATAATACCACTGCACTTTGGGATCACAATTGCAAATAATAATAAAAAATAAAATGCTCAGCTTACCGCGAGCCATATTAACTGAAAATTAGGTTGAATGATGTGGGCCATATGTTTTACACCTACCTAAAGTAAAAACATACACCTATAACCTACTATGATTATACAGAATTTCTGAAATAGCTATATTTTTCAAAAATTATTTTATTCTATATTATTTTCCACATTTTATTTTAATAATTTTTAAGTTTTAGTAATTAAATTACCTGCTGCTGAACCATGTCTTTCTCCTTTTGAATCTTTTTTGAATGCGTAAGATATTGTAATAGGTCTATTACATAGATACTGCCCGTTCATTGCTTCTATAGCAGCATCTGAGGCTTCAAAACTAGCAAAATTGATGAAGGCATACCCCTTTGAATTTCCTGTTTCAGGATCTCTCATTATCTGAAAATAAAATATTAATACATAAACAACCATTAAGCTCAATTTATTCATTTTAATCCAAACAACTAAATGTCAGATTTATTGCAACTCAACAAATGCACTTATTAATGTTTGGATTAAAATTATTTAAAAAACATCTTGCAAGATATAAAATATGCAAATATAAAAGTAAATTTAATTAGAAATAAACTATTAAAAATATATTTGAGATTAAATTTAACTGACCATATGTATTTTTCAGTTATTACATGCTTAAAGTATATAATATACTAAGTGAAGACAAAGTATTATAAAAAATATTGTTGTATTTTCACTAGTTATGCTATCAATATAAAGCAATTATATTTTCTATTATTGTTCTTTGATATTATTTTTCTTGTTGTATTAAAAAATTACACAATAATTTTAATTGTAAATGTTTTAATATAATTTGCTTAAAGTAGATAATTCTGTCATACAGTATTTATTACCTTAGGAGTCTGTAAAATGACACCAAATGCACTAAATGTGTCATACAGTAACTTCTCATCAACTTCAGGATCAAGATTTCCGATGAATATATTAGCGCCGACATCCAAATTTTTTTGATGAGCTGATGCCTGAAATAATTTAATATTAATAGTTTATTTTAATATGAAACACTTAAAATGATTAAATCTATAAAAGAACTTTACTTTAACATTATATTTTTTTCAACGTAAATAATAATAAATATATAACTGTTGAATCACAGCTGTTTCATATATAATTCCTACAGTTAAATTCAGATATTTCAAACATAGTTTATTCTAACTTTAATTTATTTAAGAATATGGGTGTGGCAAGTGAAAGTATATAAAGCAATATAATAAAAACTTTCCCTAGTCAAAATTTAAAGTTTAAAATATTCAAAATTAAATAAAAGGCAATATTTGATAAAGACTGACTTTTTTATCATTAAAAAGAATTTTACAGAATGTGATGAGGTAAGTTTACAATAGACTTATTTACAGAATATATTAAAAAAAATGTTTAAGATTTTCTTTTAAATTGAGAATTTTCTTAAATATTTTGTTTCAAGTATTATTATGTTTTTCTTCTTTTCCTCCTCAAATTCTTACCTAACTTGTTTTTTCTTTAACTTTAGATATTCACCAATGATATATTTTGTAGCCTTAATTTCTAATATTAGATTAATTTTGGTTTTCCTAAAGATTAACTGCAACTTTGTTAAACAATATGCTATGGTTTTAGAGTCATATTTATTGCAGAATTTATTTGTCATATGAAAATATGACAAGTAAATTCTGCATTTAAAAACATCTGTACCATTTCTTTCCTTAATTGATAACACTAATATTTAAATATTGTAATTATTTTCAGTAAAAATTTAGTTCTCCATTCCTGTCCTATAAGTTATAAGTCCATCATAATAATGTTATAAGAAATCTCACGGTTTTGTTATATTTATAAACATGCTGTATTTATTTGTTATGAATTATGAGTTACCGAAAAGAACCTGGAAGAAGCTATAATGAATAACATTGAACAATACTATATTGAATGACTTCTGTTTAAAATGTTTATATTCATTAGTCCTAATTATGTAATGCTATGTTGTAATTTTACTGTTAATTATTGATTTTTTTATCCATTTACTATCACATTTTTATACTCTAGGTTTAAGAAAAAATTTTAATAAGAGCAGAAATTATGTTTTTTTATAAGCAAGACATTAACTGTGAAAAAAATGTCTTAAAAAATTAGATACCATCTTCCAAAAATTACATTGAAATAAATTTCTATTTTACCTTGTTTACTCTTATAGGTTTCCCATAA